GTATGGGTCTGTTGCAGATTGGAGCATACAGAAAGTCTTGAAGCCAACCAACGGAGTCTCCTGCAGATGACTGAGAAATTCTTCCATGCAATCATTAATTCCTCTTCTGAGTTTCCACCCCAGCTTCGCAGCGTGTGCCATTGTCTGTACCAGGTATGCCCACAGCTGGGGTTTAAATCTTTAAACCCCAAGTTTTGTTGTAGAGATTGTAAAGGTCAGAATTTCTGGTTTAAAACTGTTATTTCATGCCATGGGCCAATAATAAAGTGGTATGACTATTTCTTCCTTAAAACTGTTTTATAGGATTTATGTAGTTAATCCTCCAAGCTGAACTTCAGCGTGCGTAATCTTAGCTTAGGCAATGAACTGTGTTTATGGGGCTGGCCTGGCAGACCTGTGGTAACGCCACTTTGAATTCACAGCTGAGGAGGACCCTGAGCTAATAAGGGTGGGGTCATCTGGTCTTGCTCTAATACCTCTGCTAGGAGACGAAAGGCACGGCATTGGTTAGTTACGGAGGTAAGAGGGCAGCTGTTCTTGCCAGAAGTGTACTGTGTGGAACCTTTGAGGGTGAGGGCAGCAAAGAGGGAAAGTCTGTGTCAAGTGTGGAGGAAGATAAACAAGTGTTTTGAATTTAATAGGAATATGCGCATTTACTTTCTGTACCTGGAGTGACTTCCCCTGTATAAAATCCATTCAACTAATAGATGGTTTGCTCTACATAATAGTATAATTATCCCTCAATCAATCTTTAAAAAGATCATAGGTATTAGCTACATTGGTGTTAGCTGCATAAATACAAGAGCTATTAAAAAGCCTGCTTGGTCACTGAATTTAAATAGTTGTCTTCAGTCCTCTACTTTCAGTACAGTAAGTGCACAGACTGTTATCTTTGAAGTAAAACATAACTGTTTTTCTGTTTCAGTAAAAGAAAGTATAAAAACTATTATCCACGTTAGTTCTGCAGAAATATTACTACTTCATCAGATACAAATGAACAGAACTAACGGTTTAGAATGTTCTTCAGGTCACTTTATTGTGAAGCTGGTTAAAGTGGAAACTATTACACAAGCTTCACCGTTTGAGGGTCTCTTCCTATAACTCTCTTTTATGCAAATTTTCTATTGACTTTAGTAGAAGCTCTGTCAGATCCGGCTCTTCGTTGACTCCTGTCATTTAAAAAAACTTCTAAATTCCAAGCTGATGTTGCATCAGTAAGTTTAAATTTAGATTGTCTCAAGCAGCATATCATCCCAAAATGTTAGAGAGTTGTCTTAGGACTTACTCTTGAAGGTAGCAAAACATGCGGACTCAGGAAGCGTTCTGTCTGTGAGCATAGAGAGAGCCAAGCCAGTGCAACATTCAGTCTTGATTTCCTTTGTCCTACACGTACTGTGCTCTCTCATCAAGCACTTTCTGAAAGACGATTTCTCTAAGCTCTTATACATAATCATATAAAAGCATTCTCTACTATGAAGCTATGTATTGTAATAGGAGGGAAGGTTTTAAGTTCATCTATTGGCAGATAGGACACTGGTAACCTTAAAATGGGGGTGGTGCAGCATATGTTCTGCACATAAGAATGGCCATACTGGGTCAGACCACAGGTCCATCTTCCCCAGTATCCTGTCTTCCAACAGTGGCCAATGCCAGGTGCCCCAAAGGGAATGAACAGATAATCAAGTGATCCATCCCCTGTTGCTCATTCCCAGCTTCTGGCAAACCAAGGCTAGACACCATTCCTGCCCATCCTGGCTAATAACCATTGATGGACCTATCCTCAATGAATTTATCTAGTTGTTTTTTGAACCCTGTTACAATCTTGGTCTTCACAACATCCTCTGGCTGACTGTGCATTGTGTGAAGAAATACTTCCTTTTGTTTGTTTTAAACTTGCTGCCTATTAATTTCATTTGGTGATCCCTGAGTGGTATCCAAGTTAAATTTTAAAGGTGGGATGCAAAAAATCCATGTGCGACTAAGATGAGGTAAAAACAGAGACCCCATCTGCAATTACTTTTGTGTTGAAGCCAATACATCAAAGAATCAATCCTGCTTGGCAGCATGCAGGTCAGTATGGAAAAGAGAAAAAGATACATATCCATAGCAAATAATCCTGTCTTAAGTTACGGGAGAACACACTTTCCTGAGCTATTTGTGTGTTATAAAAGAATTACCTATACAAGGGGTGGGTAGACAGAACTACTACATTGCTGTTTTCTACCCATTGAATACTCCTTCTATAAATGTAACTTCTTTGGCTTTTAAGATTAGTACTCTACAAACAATGCATTGTTTTTGGTGCTGATTGAAAATATAGGTTTTTCTTGAATTTCTGAAGATTATTAGATATCCAAAATAAATTGAGCGGAGATTATTTTATTTTTTAACTTTTTAATCACAAGTCTTCAAGTACAAAATGCCAAATAAGGGGAATAAAGAGAACTGCATCTATTTCACAGTCAAGTCATTGAAAGGTATCTCTAATCAACTCTTTCTTTTACATGGGTCTAGATCTACAAAAATAGCTTGTGCCTGTGATATAAAATAGTCTGATCATTCATTTTCTCTCTATCTAGTGGTGGTTTTAGGAAGTTGCATCCAGTGGGCTTGAGGGGATGAGAGGCAGGTTTCCTTTCAAGATGTGCGGGGGAGTTTTTAGCATTATTGACTGACAACTTTAGATAAAACCTTGATTATTGCTTCAGTTACATGACATTATTTCCTCTGGTCTAGGGTTCTATCTCTTGTATCTTTGTCTGAACTAGTTTCTTACATGCTATTACTTAGAATATTTTCAAACCTATTTCTGTTTCAACAGTATTTTGCTAACAGTTACATTTATTTGTGTACAGAAGTTTTTTAGTTCAATTCCATGGCTACTGGAACATATACACTGAGATATTGCCAGAGAAAACCCTACAGAAGACACATTTTTACTTCTCACATTTTGAAGCATTTATGTACCAACTAGGTTGGTCTTGGAACCAAGTATTGGACTTTGCCAAAAAAGTACAAATGAGATTAATTGGAAAAATATAATATTAAAAGAAACCAGTCTTCATCTGGCAATTGAGGAGTACTTGGGGTCTTTGCTATCTTTAGCCTGCTGTAAATAAGGCTTGATTTTGAATTTGTTGTGAGTAGCCTTTTATTTGCATTTCTTTGCCCATTGTCTCCCACTTTCTCCTCCTTACACCACGTTTCGTTTATCAAAACATTCATTAGCTTATTCCCCTACATTCAGAAGTACTAGAGATATTTGAAGATGGTGGCCAAGACTAAAAAAATGAGAATTATGTCTAAATTGTCATTCTTTGTTTATTTTGCATTATATAACTCTACTTTTAGAGGGCTATGGTTCATATTTAACATACAGCCCCCTTACACAATAATTTTGTTTGGTAAAGAGTAAAACAATTCTTTTAAGCAACCTCATAAATATCCCTAAGGGAGTCTGCCATCTCCCAGCATGAAGTGTATATTCCATCTTGCAAATGGGACTAATTTTGCAGTGGTTTTTTTGGCTGTATAAATGGAGTCACAAAAATAGATGTGAAGGAAATACTAATCAGAATTGATTCTGAAAATGAATTGCTTTCAGTTAATGCAACAGTCTCATTAAAACAGATTTAATTTGGATAGTCAGGACTACACTGGACAGCATTTTGGGTAGTGGAAATAGAATTCACGATAAGAGGTATTTCCTTCTTGTGTAAATCACCAACATGTAACTAACAGTTAAGCCTCTGGTTATTGCAATGGTTAGTACACATGCTCACTCATTTTCAGGTAACTTATTCCATATGTTGTGCAAGATAGGAAGCCAAGAACAAACTAAGTCAACATATCATTATCAAAAAGTGCTGTTTGGTTTGTATAAAGAGACCTGTGTTTTTTCTTAACAAATGAGGATGGGATTCTGATTTGCTACAGAAATGTATTCCCTAATGCACAGTGTGTGTGGCAGTATCTATTTCTGAGATTAGCATTAAAATTTCTTTTTAGTAAATAGATAGAATAGAAATTTCAGCTGATCTGTCACAACTTTAGTTGTGAATTGTCCTTACACCAGATTTAGCAGTGTGAAACTAGTTTTATTAGTAGGTGGATTTTGTGCTGAATTAATCGTACATGCTAGAACAGTGGTTATCAACCTATTTACCATTGTGGGCCATGTATGGAGCTCTGTGTTTTGTGGGATACATCCACACAAGATATGTATACTACCTCTATGGCCCTGAGGATGTCACATGGGCTGCAGCTGTGTGCTGGTTGGATAGCAAGTGGCCCGTGGGTTGAACCACTGTGCTAGAAGGTAAATATGAAGGGGATTGGAGATGAAAACTTTTTTCTCTAAATTTCCAGCATTTTTATTTTGTAGGCTGTTACACAGACTTTATGGTATCTACTAGAGCCCTGCACGGAACTAGTGTAGAGCCCTGCAGTGGGACTGGGATCCCACAGGACCTGCTGCCATAATAGCAGGAAGGAGAGGGAGTCTGTATTGTGGGATGGGATCCTGCGGATCCTGCAGGACCAGCTGCTGCAATAGGTGGGAATGGGTATTGTGGGGCAGGACGGGAGCGGGATTAAAAATAATCCCATGCAGGGCTCTAGTATCTACCTGAATTTTGACTTGTGGCGGTTTATTAATTATTTTTTTAAAAGAGTGCCTTGTAAGCTTCCTTGTAACAAAATGCCAAATTCTAGTGTGGCACATGTTTCCTCCTTAATGCTATCTTATTGTAATCTGTATTGATGGTTACTCCTGCTTTATTCAAAATAGTTAGTTTCGGCTAATGTGGAGGATGTGGCTTTTATCCTCATGGGTGACGTTCACCTTTGTGTAGAGGGAACAGCACGGAAGGGCTGTGCTCCACTATCTGACTTAAATGATAGTGTGAAGTGGTGTACAGGCCTTGGGCTGGCCCCTTTGACCAGGGATGAATTTCAAAAATAGTCATGGCCTAGTCAAAGCTCTTGAATTTTAAATCAGTATCAGTTTCTGCATAGACCTGCTGGTTTTCTCAGTCTTTTTATTTACAGAAACTTTGTGCCATATTGTACCATCCATTAAAATAATTTAAACCATGATTGTGGTCCAGTTATGTTAAGATGAGAAAATTATGAATATGAATCATACATTAAACTAAATTGAAGGACACACAGAGAAACATGGGAACATTTAAACCAAAAATTATTTTAAAAAGTGATGTAGACCTTTTAAAAGTTAAACCTTTGAAATATACTATTTAAAAAAATATTTGGGGGTATGGCAAAACATGTTTTGAAAGCTGAATATAATAATTTATGCTTGATATTGTTTATCATAAGCAAATTTAAGAAGTTTGACTTTTAACCTAGCCAGAAATAGTAGAAATGATTGAAACCCAACATTTGCTTGCATTGTATTTAGTGCTTTGTGAATAAGATGTAGTAAAATGAGTACATGGAATAAAAACTCCATCAAACTTTAGTTTATATATTTCATTTTTTGTTACGTTTGTTACATTTTATTGTGTAATTTTATGTACAAGTCAACATTGTTTTTTGTTGCTGTATGTAGTTGGTGCTGTGACTTGTTTGTGCTCATCTCTGTTCTGTAGGCAACTTGCCACTCTCTACTGAATAAAGCTACCGTAAAAGAAAAAAAGGAAAACAAAAAATCAGTAAGTTTGGAGAACTTTTTATTAGTCATTTCTTTCAAAGCAAAACAAAAGTCTTTTGCTGTTTGTTCAGAACATCTTCACCTTAGCCTATTTGACCTTCACTATAAAATCATTCTACTAATTCTGGCAAAAAAATAGCTTTCATTTCAATTAACACTGGAATTAAGTTTATATTTTAAATATTCTCTGTGTGCCTGTTTGAGTCAACAAAAAGGCATATTTAACCTTACTGCTTGATGTTCAATATTCTGATCTTCTGTCCTTGCCACCATTTGCAATTATAAATAAACGTTAAAAGAAAATGACTTCTAGATTTTAGGAAAATCCAGGTCTGGTTTATTTTAACATCTTGGTTTGTAGATGTTATGTTTTTTCCTGGAAGTAGGGAAACTCAGGTTAACACACATACTGCACTGAAAAGTAGTTTCACTTCATTGTCGTGTGAATTATTTTTTATTTATTTTCCCTTAAGTTTTACATTGTGAGTAACCAATAAAATTTAGCATTTGTACTTATTCAAAATGAGCAAATCTCCTAAGGTAAGCCACTACTGGGTTAAAGAAGATAGATTTTAAATTGACAATTTAGTATTATGCTTTTGATTTCCTTACAAGAAAATGTGTGTTCATATAGTGATGTCATTGGAAGTTAAGATTTATTGTGTCTTGAGCGATCTCAGTCTGTAGTGTGTGAATACTGTGGAGAATAAGATGCATAAAGGAAGAATGCATGGGATTAGTCTGAAAAAAAGTTAATTAGTGATTGGTGAAATCGTGAGAATTGTGGGTGGATTTGTAAGTGAAGAAAAATAGTCTTTAATATGTGCTATGTATTAATGATATGTTTTCCATGGCATTTCAGGTGAACTAGAAGTTGCATGACAGTCATTCTGGGTTAAGAACATCTTTAGTAGGGTTAGATTTTATCCTGAAACTCTATTTTTTTAAGGATTTAAAATTAAAAATCTTTTTGAAATACAGAGTCTAGGAAGAAAACGGGATTAAATATTCTAAATTTTACACTGGAGATTTATTCTTGCAACAGATGCAATTTACATTAAACACTATCATTTATTTCCTCCTATTTTTGAAAAATATAATAGTATTCTGTGTACTGAGTCTGTATAGGATTATCTTTAAACTTTACATTGCAAGGCTAAAGGCACATTTGAAACTTTGCAGAGGAATGGTTGACCTTTCTTAATTTTATCTGATGGAGAATTATTCTGGTCCTAACAGTTTTCTTTTCTTTTAAACTACTACACCATTGCCGTTGAGAAAGAATAGATTTTTAACCATAATCCTTTTGATCCAGGAAAAAATGCTTTCTCCTGCTGACTCTTGAGCAGTATTTATCTAACTTAAATTATACAGAGCCACACTGATATATTATCAATGATGTATGCAACTGAACACTACTAATAAATACTTGATGTCTGAAGCAAAACGGTGTATTTATAGGAACATTACTGAGATTCGAGACTATTAACATTTAAGCTGTTTAAAATATTGCAAAATTTCATACCTTAAGACTTTTTGGTCAATAGTGGTTAATAGAAATCAAATTTTGTTGCTGTTTACTGATAAAGTGGTCTGGTTTTGATTGAAGTTTAAACTTCAGTACAGAACTTGTGATGTTTTAATGGATTGCGGTACTAAAAAAAATCTGCCATGTGACTATACTAACTTTTTAAAAAGCCCTGCCTCTGAAAATAATATTCATTTATTTTGACATAATGTACGTTTATTCTATCTTCGTTCTCGGTGGGGGTTCTTCAACTTTTAAGGTTCTTGGTACTAGTGATATTTGAAAAAGTAGCTGCAGTTTGATAACTGAAAGCTGTTTTAAACACAGTAAGTAGTCTAGTTAAATATAAATTAAATAAACTGGGAACTATTACCCAAATACTTAAAATAAACTATAATCTGTTAAGTTTCCATGCATTATTAATCACGCCTCTTCATCAGCAAAATTTACATGTTGAAGATTTCTAGGTTCTTTTACCCTTTGAAAGTGAATTCTGAGGCCTGGAGAGCCTGCACAACTGCTACTTGTAATGATGCAGGTTCACTACTACCCCTGGGTATCCTAAACCTTGATACCCATCTTTCTCATTCATTAAAGACACTTATATTGACGTTTAAAGTTCTTATAGGCAGAGGTGTCCCTGAGCTATTGCTTGCTTTTTCATCATTAGCTGTTTAGAATATTCCCTGGTGAGCTTGTTGAACTTCTTGGTGTCCTCAGAGACCTCTATCAGCCTTCTTCTACAAGCAAATGAGAATACTCACACTGATCCTGTTAATCTGTGCTGTCAATTACCTTCTGAAGGTACCTTTTCCACACTAACAATTCTTTTGTGCTTTCTCCCCACTCCATTTCTTCAATATACTTGTTAAGACTAAGCGTCAGTAACATTTCATGGATGAAAGGTAATGAGACCTCTGAACTACCCCAAAGGGATTTTCTGCAGTGTCTTCTCCTGTTCCAGAAACCAAGAACAAATAAACGGAAGGACCAAATAACATAATACTACAAAAACTGGTTGTAAAATTTAGGCTGTGGGGTCACACCATGGTTGTTTCAGCTGCATTCATAACAGCTTAAGTCCTCATGAATCCTGGAAACCTACATTTGCCGTGGCAGGATATCTTTTTGTATTAAAATAACATTATTGCTGCATTTCTCTTCCCTTCTAAACAATAAGATGTAGAACAATACATACTGTTCCACAGGCTATTTTGAAAAAGCACGTGCTCTTGGATCCAGTCTCGCATTCCCTGTTTGCTTCTTGGAACCTTAAATAGAACTTGATAAAGGAGCAATCCTAAAAATATAGGCGTGAATATTTATTTGTAAATTATCCTTGACAGCATTGACTTTCGCACTGAATTTATTCCAGTAGCCTGCAAGTAATTTACATGTAATCCGTACTTATCAGTACAATTTCTTCATGGATTGTCTGTCCTCAGCTTCATTCATTTTAAAATTGAGATGGTAGATCAAGCTGGGGAACTCTAGTATTGTATTAAAAGCCCTGTGTACAGCAAAAAACCATACTGATATATGTGATGATCAGATGAGTAAATCAACTTGTTTAATGCCTAGCCTCCTGCTGTTCTATGGAAAGGTGCTTTAAAGAACTACTGTCGGGTTTGAAGGGCATGAACTTTCATATCTACAGAAGTAGCTATCACTGTATCACCCACAGGAGATTTTTCTAAGATCCCATAGTATAATTCTTACTGATGTTCTTCAGATGGCATTTCAGAAGTCTAAGTAGTACATGTACTCAGTTTAGCAGTCTAGAAGGTTCTCCTCAGATCTCAGCATTTCTCAGAAACCTCATTCCAAAGATTTTTTCAGATGAACTAACTTCCAGTCAGTTTAGTGCTCTAAGCGGTAACAAGTTTTTCTTTTCAGTCCCTGAGTTCATAAGCCTTTTATTTATTTAAATGCAAAGGGTCTTTAGGTAATAACCCAGAAGACTTAGTTTCTCTTTCTATATATTTCATTCTGTTCATTTTACAAAATATTCTAACTATTTCGGACTGGATCCCAAAAAGTAGTACCTAAATCTACAGTTTTTCGGCAAATTCTGTTCCCATCTTTATATGATTTTGCTGGGCACTGAAGTGGATAAGAGGGAAGGATAAATGTGTGCAAGTTAAGAATAACGTTGAAGAGCAGAATTCCTCTTTTCCAATATAACTGATCTGTTCTTGATCATATCATTTCATTTGGCAAAATTGTTGAAATGGTGGGTTATTTCTCTTCAAGTTTTCTTTCAGGTTCCAATGAAGTCTTTCCTCCAAGGTTAAAAGTACCTAAGAATCATTATAATGTAAATTTTAATGGTGAAGAGGCTTCTGTGAGTAATCTTAAAAATCTGACAAATTAGAAACAACACTCTTCCCGTGTTTTTGACAGGGACATAATATATATCTGAACTGAATATGTTGGAATAATTGTCAATTATTACTTTCTTAGTGACTAATAATTTTTAAACTACTTCTTGGATTTGTACCAATTTGAACCTCTACTAAATAATTTCACCCACATGGGGATGGTTATATGAAACTTGCAGTAAAATTATGTACTGTCTGCTTTAAATATCCCTCTTCCTCTTGCACTTAATTATCATGATGGTGTTATTTCTCTAGGTTATTAAGACATTATAACTCCGGATTTAAACAATATTCTCAAATCAGCATAATCCTACTCAAATGTATCAATCCTGTATAGTTATATTTATGGTCTGGAGTGTTTGATAAATACTTAAAATTGGACTACAGCTACTTTTTGCAGCATTCCTTCCTCTTTTACTTTAATTCAAACTGTGTCTTTATAATTCTCAACTTTACTTTTTAGGTTGTCAGCCAGCGGTTTCCTCAGAACAGCATTGGAGCAGTTGGAAGTGCCATGTTCCTAAGGTTCATCAATCCTGCAATTGTCTCCCCTTATGAGGCAGGGATTTTAGATAAAAAGCCTCCACCTAGAATTGAAAGGGGCTTGAAGTTAATGTCAAAGGTGAAGGATTGAATTTGCTTGATTCTGTATTTTTATTTGGACTTACTGTGTTTTCTAGCTGATTTAATTTGGCTTTAACTCTGTTTAAATAACTATAAGGAGACTTAGCTCAGCTTTAAGTTTACTGTAGCCAGGACTTCAGTGTTTAAATGCATATGTTTTCTATTATTTTTACAGCTAATTTGAATTGTAGTTTCTGAACTGTGCTTGGGTATACATCATAATTCTAATGTGCAGGCTTTATATCAGTCTAGTTCTTGAGGGGAAAGATTTGTATAAAAAACAAATATTTTGATGTCTCCCAGTAACCTAAATATAAAAGAGCCGTGTGCTGTTTGGCCTTCCGCCCATATTGCTATTTTTTAATTCTCAAAAATTATGTGTCAAAATATTAGACAGTTGTGCAAAATTCAAGCTTTGGGCTGCAGAGTTCTGATTGAAAATTATTAATAGCTCAGAAGTGAAGGCACACAAGAAATTAAGCAGGAGACGCTGATAACTGCTGTCTAAAAGGTAGTACGACTCAACCTTTGTTCCTGTTAAATTTCAGTTCCTCACTTCTGAAAATTATTTTCAAAGCCTCGTGAAGATTTTGAACTTCAGTGGCTCTACATGTATCAGAAAACTTGACATGTGTGTGCCTTACTGTCATGTAAATACTTTAATGTTGAGTACGCCTCCGATGCCTCTAAATATACCTACATAGGAGGTTGTTGAAAAGCCAGTAAGGCACGATAGGCTGACTACGCCTTTTTAATTACGTTGTATAAAGCAACTTTGATGCAGCACAAAGGTAATTCCACTGGTAGTTTACCTGAGAAATCTTTGCCACACATCTTATGTAAAAATATAGAAACCAGGCTTTCTCGTGGGCCGGTGGCCTGTAGTCAGCCCAAATATCTGTACTGCAGTTAAACAGCTGCTTAGTTTGAGCCCTGCAAGTCTACGTCAGCTGGCTCAGGCTAATCACAGGTTTTTAAGTGTAGTGTAGACGTACCCTTAGTGCACAGCAAGTTGGGCTGTTTGAAATAGCTGTACCTCAAAGTGCACTCACCTAGTGAATTTTGTAGTTGAAAAACATTTTTCTCTGTAGACTTGATTCAACTCGTGACCACTAATCAGTGTAATTATGCGAGTACTGAGAGTTTGGGGGAAGAAAACACCATTCCATGGCTGCAAGAGGAATAAATCCCCCCTTATTCTTGAAGCCTACGTGAAAGGCAATGCAGTGAGCTTGTTCTGACCTGGCCCCAACTGCTCCCTGCCCTTTCTGTCCATTCCTGTAAAATTTCCCCCTTCTCACCACCCCCGGTGAAAAGGAGGCTTTAAAGGTGCAAACACCCCTTTTCTTCCAGCCAACTGGACAAAGATCCAGTTACATAAAGATTGCAGTGGGCACAGTCTACTGAATTGAAATTAATTGGGTTGTTCAACAGCCTTTTTGTGTGTCCCCTGTGGATTTTTACAGATAAATAGAAGTGGATGAATCTGCCAAAGTGAGAAGAGATGTTTCATTGGCACAGCTGCATTAAGTGTAACGTGTAAAACCTCTGCGTGCCTGTAACAATTCTATTTTCTATTTTATTGTTTAGATACTTCAAAGTATTGCCAACCATGTCTTGTTTACGAAAGAAGAACATATGCGGCCTTTTAATGACTTTGTAAAAAGCAACTTTGATGCAGCACGAAGGTAATCCCCGTGATAGCTTACCTGAGGAATTTTTGCCACACATCTTATCTAAAAATATAGAAAGCAAGCAGAAAAATGCTTTCTCATGGCTCTGTGACCTGTTGTCAGCCTGCTGGACTGATTTTTCCTTGCTAATCGGAGCAATTGGTTTTCTGTCTCCTCTTAGGTTTTTTCTTGATATTGCATCTGATTGTCCGGCTAGTGACACTGTCAATCACAGTCTCTCCTTCATTAGTGATGGCAACGTACTTGCCTTACACCGTTTACTTTGGAACAATCAGGAGAAGATTGGCCAGTATCTTTCCAGCAACAGGTAAAAGATTTGAATAGTATGTGGGAGGGAGTTGATGATGCAATTACAGTTCAAGATGACAAATCAATTAATTCACATCCTGGGGATTGGCATGGGCAGGTTGACTTTCATTCATTAGCTATTACTTAAAAGAACATTGAACTAACTTACTTCTCTTATGATTTTTTTTTGTCTGAGGAGACCATTAGTTTGCAATATCCATAATTTTCCATTGCCGTTCTTCATATTACTGTTAGCCACTTACAGTAATCTACTTGTTTCCCTATGTCACATTCATATTGAGCCCTGTGCATCAGTTATGCTTTCTACTGTGAACAGATTTCTTATAGTTGTTCACTAAACACTGCAATACAAACTGCAGTATAAAATTTAACATTCTTTACATGCCTAAAAATAATTGGAATGAGCAGCCAGCTCATTCATGGTAAAGGGAAGTTATTGGACAAAAATCAGGAGGGGTGCTGAGTGGTTAAGTAGGATTTGTTGTCTCTTGTAAGTAATATATTGTCTCTAGGGATCACAAAGCTGTTGGAAGGCGACCTTTTGACAAAATGGCTACTCTTCTTGCCTACCTGGGTCCACCTGAGCACAAGCCTGTGGCAGACACACACTGGTCCAGTCTAAATCTCACCAGTTCCAAATTTGAAGAATTTATGACTAGGTAATGGAGCTACTTGAAATTGAAAAAATTGGCTTTTTTAAACTTTAAGCGATCAGTCTTATAATTTTGATGTAGCATGTACAATAACTCCTCACTTAACGTCGTCCCGGTTAACGTTGTTTCGTTGTTATGTTGCTGATCAATTAGAGAACATGCTTGTTTAAAGTTGCACAATACTCCCTTATAACGTTGTTTGGCAACCGCCTGCTTTGTCCACTGCTTGCAGAAATAGCAGCCCGTTGGAGCTAGCTGATGGGGGCTTGGAAGCAGGGTGGACCAGCAGTCCCCCATCTGCTCCCCTAAGTTCCCTGTGTGGCAGTTGCACAGCAGGCTATCAATTGCTCGGCAGTTCAGGTGTCCCTCCCCCCACTGCCATGTGCTGCTCCTGCCCTCTGCCTTGGTGCTGCTCCCGGGAGCCTCCTGCTTGCTGTGCAGAGGTGGGGGGAAGAAGGGTACTAATGTCAGGGTGTCCCTCGCTCCTGTACCCCATCTCCACAGAGCAGGGGCGGGACATGACAGGGCTCAGGATGGAGGGAGCTTGTTGGCAGCAGCTGCTGTCTCAACTTGCTGATCTACTTGAAAAGGCCGTGTACTTAGAGTAGGGTCAGTGTACTTAGAGGCAATGTGCATCTCTCTAACACACACGGTGTGTCTGTCTCTCCCTATTCCCTCCCCCATCTCTCTCTCACACACACACTCACACACGGTGTGTGTCTTTGTGCTGTGTACTTCCCTCCATTTGTACTGCCGTGTACAGTGTGAGGCTACATTAACAACGTGTTAACCCTTTGGGTTCAGCCGAGTGCTAGTTCATCATTTAGCAATAAGGCATTCCCTGGGAAATATCCCACCCTCTTCCACCCTTTGACTCCCCCACCTCAACCAAGCTTCACAATAGTCTTTTATCTGGTGAAAAAAATTTCCCTGGAACCTAAACCCCCCTTATTTACAATAATTCTTATGGGGAAATTGGATTTGCTTAACATTGTTTCGCTTAACGTAACATTTTTCAGGAACATAACTACAACGTTAAGTGAGGAGTTACTGTATATACATAAATACTTTCATACCTAATGAGCTCTTTCGGGGGGGGGGGGAGAGGTAGAACCAAATTTAAAACATTTGAGTTCTTTTCCACTCAAAAATAGAGAAATAAACTCCATGCGGAGTGATTTTTTTTATCACAAATGTCAGCTCATCGGTAATATGGAAAACTCTCAGAAAACAGATGTGGTATTTAAAAATTAGCTTAACAGTATTTAATGAAATGTTCAGACAGTTTTTAAAGTGCAAATGTGCAGTTTTTTCCCTAGATGTCTATGAACAAATGATGTCAATGTAAAGTAATAATTGTGCTGATTTCTAGGCACCAAGTACATGAAAAAGAGGAGTTCAAGGCATTGAAAACATTAAATATTTTCTATCAAGCTGGGACATCAAAAGCTGGCAATCCTGTTTTCTACTACATTGCTCGGCGGTAAGGAAACTTTTATCTTTCCTTTGTCTTATAATAAGCACTGTAATACCAAAAGCAGCAAGTGCATATAAGACAGATATATGTGCTTCTCACCAAACAGGAATTTGTGAACATATGAGATTTGAGGTGAGAATATACTCTTGTGGCCATCCAATTTCCTGGATCAGAAATTTATCGATATAAATTGTATGGGCACCCATCCCATAGTTTCTCAGTGCCTGGTGGAATGTATTTAAAGTTCATTGTGAAAGGGTTACATTTTACTTTAGGAAGTGAAAAATTCAGGGTCAATTAATATTAAATTACCCCCACAGTGCATATAGATGGTACTAATGTTAAGTCATATCAATAACTTCCTTCTCTTCAGAATTTATTGCAGAAGAAAAATTGGGAATTAAATGCAAAATGAGGTGGCAAAATGTGTCATGGAATAAAAACTTGAAAAATACTTAAATCCTATTTTCAGTAGTGATTTAGGCACGTAGGACCTAAGTCTCATTGAAAGTCCCTGGGACTTATGCTCCCAGATGCTTAAATTGTTTTTGAAAATGGCACTTGGGCTTATAAATCACTTGGGTACTTTTGAAAATTTTCATATGACATGGGGTGGCGCATATGATGTATGCAGAAGTCTGATTAAAGAAATGGGGAGAAAATCAGTTTAAGTAGTGAAGAATTGACTACAAATTTTGCAAACTATTTAATATTAGAACCCAGGACTGTGGATATTTTATCTTTGGTCTTTCACCATACTAGAACAATTCACTAAAATAATTGATGATTTTTGCTACACTAATGTTGAAGGTTTCAAGAAATATATCTGACACAGGATTATTCTTTTCAGATTACCAAGGCAAGTATTTCACTGTAATCTTTTAATTTTTACATCAATTTTACTAATAGTAGTGAAATGATTGCAGTTTAACATAGTTCGCATAACTAAGTAGTATTACTTATTGTTGACAAAGGATTACACTTTAAGTTAAACATCAACAAAAATGCAAACCAAATAAAGTTGAAGTCTTGATCTTGACAAACAAAAAACCATAGTGTGAATGACAAGTGGAACATATAAGGATTTGAGATATCAGTGTGTCTTGCAGGAGAACAATCAGACAATTGCAAAGAGAACATGACCTCTTTTTATAGTTATCTGAGTTTATTAGGCCAAAACGTTTGGTTACTCTACTAGAATTGTGCACATTGGACACATGAGGATAGATACATAGGAAATAGGGTCATATTTGCATAATTTGGCTTTTGTGGGGGGTACGTATACTTATTTTAATACATAAAATGTAGCTTGGTAAAACAAGTGTAATAAGACTAATTTCCATAGCTTACCAATATTTGTAATACATTTGGAGTATGAGCTCTATTTGACAATCAGCTTGTTACAATTTGTTAGAGTGGAAAAAGTCATACAGTTTTCTACATTTTTTTTAATATAAAATGCTTGGACACTTTTTGATGATAATTCGAGAAATTTAATAACTTTACAAATTGAAAGTACGTATTCGAACATGGTCATTAATTTAGCAACCATAAGTATAGTACTGCTGCTGATCCACAATATTAAAACTCTCAGAATAGTGAAGAACATATTGAACTGATAGAGGTTAATTGAAGTCAGAATGGTGATTCATAGAGAATTTGGACTCCAGAACTTGATTGTACTACCAGTGATTAGGAGGTAATGAACACTATTTTTATAACAGTTAAGCAAGCAGTTATAAACAATTCACAACCAAATGATGGACATAGTAAAAGATGCAATAGTCATGAGAGTTAAGGTTGTAGCTACTGAGCCTCCATGCTGCATTGTGCCTGCGCTATTAGTGACTGTTCCATTATTTGGTTGAATGCTGGTTCCATTAATAGGTTTAGTGTTGGCTGTCATCTTTGGTGCAGAGGAGCTAGGAGTCATGGTCGTCGCTGTTGTTGTATTTTCTGGAGTGACTAAATGAACCTCATTTAAAAACATGAGAGGCAGGACTACGCAGCACAATTTCAACAGCATCTTCTGTCTGTATTAAACATTTCACATAGTTAGTATTTTCACGTTGTCTGGCATTCTCGAGTTTTGCTAATATGAAGTATACATTTTTAAAAGAAAAAAGCTGTTCTGTCATGTTAACTATTAGATTATTTTTCAGTGGAATCGGTTAAATTCCAAGAGTAAGCTACCTACCTATTGTAGATGTTTAGTCAATTTTACCACAAGATAATAATCCATACCTTATTCCAATTTCAGTTTCTTATGGTGAAAGTAGATAACAGCTTCTGAAGAACCCCTCTGAGTGCAGCCTCTAAATTTACAACTGGTTTCTGCATTTATATATAAATTCCTGAAGATGTCGTCATAAGTGGTTGGCTCCAATCTTTGCATTTGAGTCTCTAATTTCCAGAGCAATAAACATAACGAAAATTCTACCCAACATCAATGAAGGAAGTAAAATAAATTTTGAGGCTTTTTCCTCATTCCGGAATACTGTACAGTATTAGAGTTCATAAATAAACACAACCCTCCCCCCATCACTTAAGGGAAAATGCATGCTACATACTATTAAAATGTCTGTGAAGTGCTAAATGGCTGAAAACTTCCAACTAAATTACTTTCATAACTAAAAGACTGCTAGATTTAGGAAGTATCAGAAGGGTAGCCATGTTAGTCTGTATCCACAAAAACAACGAGGAGTCCAGTGGCATCTTAAAGACTAACAGATTTATTTAGGCATAAGCTTTCGTGGGTAAAAAACCCCACTTCAGATCCATGCCCAAATAAATGTTAGTCTTTAAGGTGCCACCGGACTCCTCGTTGTTTTTGTAGATTTAGGAAGACGTTTTCAGTGCAAGAAATCCATTGGGGCGGCCACTTACGAAATGAAAATGTGTGACCAGTTACAACTGCATGATTAAAAAGTCAACATTATTTTAAGAACACTTTGCACTTATATTGCATTTCACATTTTAAAATTACTTCACACAGGCCATTTGGTACAACGAGTTAGTTACTTTAGGCCAGTTGTATGTATAGGAATCCTCTTGGGATGACCTGAGTTAGGGAATGCTGCCTAAGCAGCATAGAGAGCCTCTCGTGAAATTGGGCTCCTCATCTGCCTCCTGGTGTGAGGCCTACAGTGCTGAGAGGGGAACCACATGAGAAAATGCTAAAAAAAAAAAAGGTCAGCATTAGCTTATGCAAGGAAAACCCGAGGCTTGAAGGGGATGATGCTGTGGAGAATTGCCTTCCCATCACTCCACCCGCCCTCAGCCCAGCTATACTACTCACTACCATACAAGGGGTTTTCATGGAGTTGGAGGGAACAGGATGAATAGTGCTATTGAGTCTCTACCCCGCTTACCCCTTTTAGCACAAATGCCACAATTTGTTTTTTTGAGACACAATCTAGCTCTTTGAGGACTAATGAATGGTCATCATTTTGGCTGAGAGAATGACTGAAATAAGCCTTTTCAGTGTCTGAATTGAAAAGTCAGCTTAGCAGTATGAATGGCTGTATACGAAGTGTGACTATTGAGTAACCTTGTAAAAATCAATTGTGAAAATGAGCAACTAATAAACTGTGTATGCTCTTATGGTAACTAACCTGCATTAAACAGTTCAGCATAGTTGAGGTGTTTCACGTATTTCATAATGGAGACATGAGATTAAATTTCAAGTTATTTAAAATGGGTGGCATATGAATACATGCCCATTTTTTAGCTTTATTGATTTTTATTCCAATATTATTGAACTAATATTAAAATAATATTGTTCCATTGAAGATTATAGCTTATGCAACTAATTTTTAGTTTCCTTAGGAACACTGTGTAGCTTCATTGTACATAGTGTGCCTTTGCTGGAGTGCCTTACTGTTGAATGAGTAATTCTATACTAGGAGGACTCAAATTGAAACTCAGGTTTGTCTGAGTATTGTGGTTACACTGATAACTGGAAAAACAACTCTTCCTTAAAAGCTTAAAGTAATTAAGGTAAAGTGAGCACAGCACTCAGATTGTGAAACGAACCTACAAGTCTTAACACAGTGTGCCATGTATTTACAATTACTTCACTTTCATTTCTTCCAACAGAATCCTTAGGCCCTGTCTACACCCAAAGTTGCAGCAGTTTTGTTAAAGACGTGTTCTTTCTTTGCATGCTGGTCCCTATGTATATTCCCCTGTGGGTTCATAGGCACTGCATGGAGTGGAGACTGGAGAATTCTAGTAAGTATTGTCCTTTGGTCGGCACCACTGCAGTTGCTCTCCTTGTGTTCTGTACTGAGGTATACAAGGGGTGGTGCAGACTGACACCACTCCAGTTTCTTCTTACCGCTACATGGCCTGAGTTGGAATCCTCCAGTGTCAGGAACTGATCCTCTTTGACATTCTTTCCTATAAATATTTGCAAGTTTTATGTTAGTTGTTAATAGTTTTCATAGTTAGATTAGTAGTTAGTTAGAATCTCCACTCTGGGGAATCTTCTGATTCCTTGTCTTGGGACTTAGATTATACCCAGGCGCCTGGGCTTTAAGAATTGTCTCTTTCCCCTGCTCCTTTTCGGTCAGCGACAGCCACCAGTGCTGTCTCTGCTACCTTAGAGAAGCTCATACCTCCACTATATGCAATATTCACGGCTCCTTTCCCAACCGAACATGGCAGGTATGAGAACTCTGGCTTCAGAAGTACCTAATGGAACGTGCCATGAGACCTCAGTTGGATCCAGGAAACCCCCCTGCACATCTGTCTGAGACATTGAAGCGCATGCTTCCTAGCTCAATGTATGACACAGGAGCGAGAGCGACTAGAGCGAAAGACTGTTAGTCTGGGCCCTCTTATGAGAGTAAGAGGTATTCTCCTAAATAAGAGCTGATCCCCTCCTAGATCTTCTAAGAGAAGAGATCCTGTCCAAGCTGGGCAAATCTTTGCATCCAGGACACAAGGACTTGGGTCTTCCCAAGCCTCGTGACCATGATCAAAAGGCACAGAAGAGGAAGGAT